CTGCTGACCACGTTGGCCTCATTCGTCGAGTGTGTCGGGACCTCACTCGGCGCAGGTGCTGCAGTCCCTCGCGGGCATGGCGGTCGTGCTGCGGCTGAGCGGCCGCCTGGCGCTGCTCGTCGTCGCGGGCGTGCTGCTGCGGTCTCTCTTCGCACACTTCTACTCGATGGCAGCTCGCCGACTCTCCCAGGCGCACCTCCTCTCTCCTCCTCCCCTCCTCCTCTCCTACTTAGCTCGCTCCTCATCTCCGTCTACTGCCCCGCGGCGACAAGCTATTCTGCTCCTCGGCGTCGCTGCGGCGACTATCTCGCTCGTGGCCAGGGAGCATCCTGGGGCGCCTCGCCTTGAGGAAGGAGGTGCGGCATTTGTGGCAATTCCCGCTCCTCGCCACACACAACCGAGTCTACACGCCGCGCCGCTGCTTGAGGCAACTACTCTCACTCTCGTCAGGCGTCGCTCCTGCGCGGGTCCAACCTGAGCTGCTGCTCGCCTCGAGAGGAACTACAGGAGGTGGAGGCTTGGACCAAGACGTCCGGGTTCGTGCAGCCCCTAGGAAAAATAGTCGCTGTGCACCTGCGGTTGGACGACGCCTTCCGTTGCAACACGGCGCGGTGCGATGCGGTGAACAAGGGGCCTCCCAGCCTCGCTGCGTGGGACAAGATGGCCGACCGACTGCGGCACCACGAGCCCGCATGTGTGTACCTATTTACAGGGGGCCACAACGAAGAGGCGTCCACGTACATGAACCACACGCTGCGTTACTTGAGGGAGGTACACTCGACCCTCGCAACGCATGGACTCGACGCGCGGCTGCGCTCTGGTGACCCCGACGCTGACGCCGCCTTCATGGTTTACGCCGACCTCTTCATCCAGGGGGAGGGAGGCTACTCTCGATGGATCGCCGCGTTGCGTAGGCTTCGGTCCCGCACGACGTGGACGCACGAGACGCCGTTTGAACGGCTGTGGGAGGGCTGGGGATCCCATCATGGCGCCTTGGGGCTGGTGTCAGAGCTAGGCCTGCCTGCAAGATGCCAATCAACGACGCTGTGCAAGCTCAAGGCACGATAAGTCGCCTCCTTCACGACACACCAGGATCACTACGAGAGAAGGGCGCGGTAAGTGTGTTTGAGCGTGAGGGCTTTTACACGCAAGTATGACGAAAGAACTCAGTCGCACAACGCGAGCGACTGGACGAGACCCCCCTAACCCCCCTTCCCGCGCTCGAGTGCCGCCCCCCGGCCGGATCCAAACTCGAGTGTCGAGAATGTGCTACACGGGTCCCAAAGTATTGATTGGCCCATTGGGTTCGGGACGTATTCCAGACTGTGATTTCTTTTTCCAGTAGGCGGCTCCCGTGGTGTACCTGTGTTAGTGCCAGTGCGCGCCAGTCCCGTGCCTAGTGTCGTGCGAGGGAGTTTTATCGTAAAGTTCTTTTTCCAGGGGGGAGTGAATCGTTGCGCGGCCTTCGGGCTTCGGGCGGGGCTGCGCCTCGTTGCCCCCTTCTCCCCACCCCCCAGCCGTCAGGGGCGGGGATCCCGCAATTTCAGATGCCTGAGCATCTCTGATTGAGCCATTACATCCTGAGATGCTTACTCTCCCTCTCCCTCTCTCTCTTACTCTCCCTCTCCCTCTTCTCCCTCTTCCTCTTACTCTCCCTCTCCCTCTCCCTCTCCCTCTCACTATAACTCTCCCTCTCCCTCTCTCCTCTCCCTCTCTCCTCTCCCTCTCTCCTCTCCCTCTAACTCTCTCCTCTCCCTCTTACTCCCTCTCCCTCTCCCTCTCCCTCTCCTCTCTCCCTCTTACTCTACCTCTTACCCTCTCTCCTCTCACTCTCCCTCTCCCTCTCCCTCTCCTCTCTCCCTCTTACTCTCCCTCTCCCTCTCCCTCTTACTCTCCCTATAACTCTCCCTCTCCTCTCCCTCTCACCTCTCCCTCTTAATCTC